TAATGATAGTATATCTGTGAAAATTGTGTAATATAAAAAAATCTAAAACTTAAAGGGTGTTATAAACATGTACATAACAAACCAAGTGAACGACTGAAATCTACGTAACATTTGGTAACGAGGTAAAATTTTTGAAAATGAACACTGCTCACCAGAGCAAAACACATAATGGTGAGGTATGCTCCCTTTAACTCGTCCATCTTCCTATTTGCAATGCTAAATGCATTACGTATAGGCGCAACGACCCATGAGACTCTTAATTGAACAAATGTTTGTGTAATGGAATTTCAAACACTGCAAATTAATATTTTAAATAATAAAAAAATACAACAAAATTAGTCAACATATGGAGCTAACATATAGGTTAAATGTTTATGCCTTCCAATACATTAACATTTTAGTTTTACTATTTTAAACGTCCCTCCACCCAAAAAAAAAAGGGTACGTAGTTGATGAAAATGCTTATAAGTTAAGAAGTAGTAAAATGTGATGCATCAAAATCCATTCCATGTATTCATATTTAGATTGAATTCACCTGAATACCTTTTAACCTTATTAAGAAAAGGGGTGGAAAATGCTTAGCATTTTTGTCATTAATTTAGAGGGGACTTTTCTGCCTTTTTCTTTCCTTGTGCACGATCAGGTACTGCTTAAAATACGCCAAAAAGAAAAAACGAAGGCACTGAGAAATAGGGCTTTCGTAAAATGTTTTCCTGAAATTTAAAATCGATAATTGGCTGTAAATGAATTTAAAATTCACTGTTTTGCAAAACTCCCCCTTTTCTTCCGACCAGTTCATATATAATGAATGAATCAGGACAAATTTTAGAGTAGCCGTACTTTACAAAAAAGATGCGTTTTCAAGCGATGACTGCATTTAATATACAATTTATAGCAATTATATCACAGTAAAAACGAGCGATGTCCTATTCCATGTAAAACCGTGGAAGGAAAAATGGGGAAATTACACAGAAATTACACAGAAAATGAACCGCAGTGTAAATGTAAATGGCCAAATAACGACTATTTAAAATGCATTATTATACACAACAAAACACCTGGCCAGCTCTTAAACACTGTATATAGGTTCAAAATAAATCTGGTCAAATTGTGTGCGGGTTTTGTCTGCCCTACGTTTTCTGCGTGCCTGGCATATGGTTTCATCGTCATTGAAATACGTAAACAAAATTACAATAAAATCTGTCAGGTACTCACCGTTTGAGCTCACTAGAGGTTGTAAAACAATAAGCACTCCAGTGAACAGAAAAAGCCGCACGCTCTCCATCGCTAAATCAAAGTCATGTGCAAACTTCCGAAAAAACTATATCCGTTCTTTCTACTCAAGTTCCAAAAGCAGACAGTACTCCGAAATAAATGACTTTGCTCTAGCGTTTAAGTAGTCGCAAAACTTACGTCATAATTTTCCATCTATAAGAAATAGTTCTATTTACATTAAGGCACCAATCAGACGCTGAGGCATGCATTTTCATCATTTATGTGTGGAATTGTACGTACCTGTACATCGTTCTCAAAACAACGTAAGAAATAGTGCACGTGTTCTTATTACATATTGTTTAGTTTGAACCTATATAATGACGAAGTAGTAAAAGTACAATGTAATTGAAATCAATTTTCGATGACATTAATTTAAGATGCAAGCTATTTGCCCTCAGAGAAAGTGTTGATCTCAAGAAACCAACAAAGTATTTTCAAAACCCTGTTTTACTACGTTTTACTTGTCGTAAAATTTATGATAGGAGAGAAAAAACAAGTTGTACCATCTGCATCTACAGGGTTGCTACTTAATATGGAATATTTTTTATCATTGTTATTTTTGAGTGCTGATTAAAATTTTTTGGCTTGAGTCATTAAAAAAGTATGTCACTGAGTGATTATAACATCCAGTCTTCTGTTGTGAGATATTTTGTTCAATAATATTAAATCTGACATAAGATGCCATTCAAAAGAAAGGAACACCCCAAGAAAACCATATCAACAGTCTGATGTCAGTATAAACTTTAAGATAAGATATTAAAGAAAATGATAGCCTCCGGAAAGTGATATGTTACACAGTCAAAGAACTCACTACAGTAAATCATGAAAAGTCAGTAATTGCGGGTATGACCTCCAGCAGCCGCTTGCAGCGCCTTCATCCTACATGGCATACCCTGTGACATGTTTTTTAGAGTTTGGCTGGGGATATCATTCCACGCAGTGATATTTGCCTGTTGCAGTTCATCACTATTTACTGGTCGAGGACCATAGCTATTAATTCTGTGAGTTACTTCCGCCCAAAGATTTTCAATTGGGTTCATGTCTGGAGAGTTTGCAGGCCAGGGCAGTTGTTGAACCCATTGGTTTTGAAGAAAAACAGTGATTCTGCGGCCTTGATGTGGGGTTGCGCAGTCGTCTTGGTACACAAAGTTGTTCCTGAAGATGACTCTTACCAATCGAATCATTGTTTGCTGTAGAATGTTTCTGTAGGAATCCTGGATAAGGTTGCCTCCTAGAAAAACCAACTGGTTCTGGGCACCGACATGAAATGCTCCCCAAACAGAGACGTTCCCATCCCCTGCATGCACCATAGGCAGTACACAATCATCGTTGTATGCCCCTCGTACACGTCGGTGAACACGGATTCGACGATCAACCCTAAAAAATCCATATATGGCCTCATCACTGAAAACGACGTAATTCCAGTGTTTTGGCTGCAAACGCACGTGGTCCCCAGCCCATTGCAGACGTCGCTGTATATGACCTGCTGTTAACAGTGGTTTCCCTACTGGCCTTCGTGCAAAATAACCGGCTTGCAGTAATCTCTTGTTCACGAGGGACCTTGAAACGGGCGTTTGAATAACATTCTGCCTCTCTTTTCTGAGGACACTGGTTGTCTCTGTACGACCAGCACGGCGTCCTCTAAGGAGAAGGCAATCCTGTCTTCTTGGTGTGATACGCGGACACCCTGGTCGAGGTATTGGAGTAGGTGCCCCTGTTGCAGCAATTATTTGGGGGACTTCACAAACGGTTCCTGATAAATGTTGAATTACCTGGCAATGGCTGTCCGTTTCTGGCCATTTTCTCTGAGAGCAAGAATCCCATAGTAAGCTGCGTTCCTTAGCTGTCAAACCATATCTTCACTAATGTACCTGTCAAGTTTCAGAGCGATCCCTTTGTTGCTTCTCTAAACACACTTCAAAGATTGACCACACCCATGCGTTTTTATACAAGGGCAGAAATTGCCGAAAAGACCACCCCTCACATTTCTGACCACAGAACATGCAACTGCATGCATCAATTGTTTCGAGAGTTGTGTGGTAATTAGGTAACACACCTAGCTACACATGGAGTGACACCTCAGCTTTGGATTTAAAGTAGTTAGAGAGAAATTAAATATTTTGTAGAAAATTTACTCGCCAAAAAATAATATTCCATATTAAGTGGTAACCCTGTATCTGGGCGTTTCTGCTGCTGTAGCTTTTTTGTTGTTGTTGTTGTCATTTAGTATTCAGCTGCACGAACAAAGTTGATTTAGCTATAAGAGTTCATTTTAATAATGTCGTTTTATCAGCATGTAATGTTGAACTTTTCACGAGCATGAATAATTCAGCTGAATCTGTAATCTCTGAATGTCGGTAATCACCCTTGTGGCCTCGAAAATTGCAGGATGAGCATTTCATTACATCATCTTTTAAGCCTTTAGTTGCCAGTTTGCTGTGAATTCGAGCCCATTTGTAGTTGTTCTTAGTCGGTTTATTGCTTGGAAGACATGCAGTGGGTAAATAAAATTCGCGACATATTTGAGGCCATTAGCAAAGCGAGCGGTACAGTTTTCTATTTCACACCAGTTTGAGAGACAAGCCGGGTTATGAGGCAAGAGAGCCTCTTTAACGAAGCCTCCACACTCAAATGATTAATTTTTATTGGTGCATTGAGGCTTGCGAAAAGGGGTAATTTGCTTATCAGTATTCAGAGATAATTACACGCCTCAAATAAAACCACCCGATATTTCCTCCTGGAATGCCAGGAAAACATGCTCCAAAGTGCAAATCCAAGTGCAGGGATGATGTTAACAATGATTCTTAATTGAGGAGGAGAAAGGTGTCTCTTTCTTGAAGAAAATTACATTTGGCGTAGAAAATATCGGATAGGAAACCCTATTTGGTAATAATTACTGCAGGCAAATTTGCCACTAATCCGAAATGAAAGGAACTCCACCAGTAAATTAATTCATCAATAGCAAGAATCAAAAATAGAGATGGGACTTCCTTATTTCAAACAACAATGATTAGTACAATTTTCTTGTTGTCTTTGCATATCCTTTTTAGAATAAAACATAAGATACAAAGATGCTTCTTTTGTAAATAAACATTAATATTATAATAGCTTTATAGCAAATTGCAGAAACATCAAAATCCACTTATAGATTTACAATTAATAACAATTGACAATCTTGTAACTTGCCTACGCCAGTATGTATATTTGTTTAGGTTTTATATGTATAACATGTTTTTGACACTTTAATCTAGTCACTAAGAAAATACGTTGATGTGCATCGTCCAGAAGGTTCATATAACGTTGGTATCAAGGTTGCCGTAGCGTGCACTGCGACGTTTAGAGTTTTGTGGTTGTTTGTTTCGCAAAAAAGGCAAACGGGATGCCACTGTGACTACGAAGAACCATTTGACAAACATATAAAAAGGGGTTCATTGAGCCAATTACTTAAGAGCCTAGTAGTATGCCTCTACAGATACCTTCTCTGTACCCCCCCAAACCCTGGCATATGAATGATCTCGATTCTCGAACGACACAAAAGTGATAGCATTCAAAACCACGGATATATTGTCTGTTTACTGCTACACACGCTTACGAATTATGCTTATTTTCATATCAACAAATGTGTTGTATCTCCATATTATCTTCATGAAGAACATCATCTTACTAGATGCTTAAATAAAAAATGTAAATTATTGGTCATTTTTGTGTTAATACTGTATAATATAATATAATATAATATAATATAATATAATATAATATAATATAAATGTTATCACCAGAAATTACCCACTTCACTTCAGAGCTTTAACTAAAAACATCAACCATAAGCATCAATAGGTTAAATTATTTTGTTGGCATAATGTTAAGACTTTTTTCTTGCTTTCGCAACATTTCAGAACTTAATCCTCACCTTTGCCCTTGTTTGTTATGCAAATAAAAACCATTTCACAATCACTGAGCAAAAAAAGATGTAATTATTTACATTTTACTGCCCAGATTTTCATTTATTTAAAGTTGAATTCTAACATTTATTTGAAGAAGAATTCTAATTGGTTTGTTGCCTCAAGTCATGGTAAGTCAACGTAAGATGTCTATGGTAAGAGAATCACGCCATCTGGTAACATTTCAAACCCTGGGATGGGCTGGTGGGGCGGTGGATTAACGACGGCGTTAGGGTCACAAGTACCATCGCAGGGGACCACTTGGTTATTCAGGCACTGCTGAGTTTGCGTATTACACGGAGTTCCGTTGCAGCAGATACAAGTGTCTTTAGGATAGATGGCGCCAGCGCAGCATATGTGCGTATTTTTGTTGTACACGGTATAGGCGCAGCATCCAACCACGGCCGAGTCCTTTGGAATCCTATACCCTCCACAACAGGTGGTTGTTGCTGGGTCGAAAGGTTGGTTATTGCAGCAGCTCCCTTTGTTCACCACCGTTGATCCACAGCACTCTTGGGTTGCAGAGTTGTATGGGTTGCCTGAACAACAGTCGTCGAACTGTGATTTCCAATAGATATTTCCACCACAGCATATTTGACTGGTTGGGTTGTATGGTTGGTTGTTACACAAATAACAATTGCCCTTTGAAACAATATTGCCCAGGCAACACTCGTGCGTGTAAGAATTGTACGGGGAATTAACACAACATTGGTAATACTGCACTTTCAAATAGATAGTGCCGCCACAACATATTTGACTGACTGGGTTGTATGGTTGGTTGTTACATAGATGACAGTTGCCCCTTGGGACAATGTTGCCTAGGCAACATTCGTAAGCAAAAGAATTGTAAGGGGAATTGCTGCAACATTGATCATATTGTGTTTTCCAATAGATAGTTCCCCCACAACATATTTGAGAGGCTGGGTTGTATGGTTGGTTGTTACATAGCTGGCAATTGCCCTTTGGAACGATATTTCCAAGGCAACATTCGTACGCAAACGAATTATATGGAGCATTTCCACAACATTGGTCATACTCTGTCCTCGAATATAGACTCCCTCCACAGCATATTTGAGTGGCTGGATCGTAAAGGCAGTTGTTACAACATGATCCTCTGTTAACGACTGTGTTCTTGCAACACTCCTGTGTTGAAAGAGAATAAGGATTACCAGCACAGCACCCCAAATAAACAGTGTTGATGAGAATGCTGCCACAACACTGGCTATTGGGCAACATTTCGTAGAGTTTGTCTCCACAGCAAATAGCAAAAGATGGATCGTACTGTATATTGCCGCAAAGATGACACGAACCTTTTGGTACAACGTTGCCCAGGCAACATTCTTCGCTTTCCAAGCTGAATGACTTATCATTGCAGCAACCAGATGTAGCCTGGTAGATTGGGCTGTTACCGCAACAAGCTACGTTGTACGCTTTAAGGTAAAGCGTCCCTCCACAGCAAACGTATACAGATGGGTTATATGCCTGGCCGTTGCAGCAGGCTTGAGAACCTTTATTGATTACAGTACTGCCACAACACTCTTGGGTGGTCAGAATAAAAGGATTGTTTGCACAGCATCCTTCGAAGTTCGGTTTTATGGGTTGATTATTACAGCAAGTTCCTTTAGTGACAATGGATGTGCCGCAGCATTCTTGAGTCTGGGGGTTGTAGGACTGACCGTTACAACAATCTAGCCAAGACGAAATCAAAAAACCACCGCAACACTTATTTGTCAATGGATCGTATACCTGACCGTTACAGCAAGATCCTATAGGCACAATAGCTGTATTGCAGCATTCATGGGTCTGAGGGTTGTATGGTTGACCGTTACAGCAAGATCCTATTGCGACAATAAATGTGTTGCAGCATTCATGGGTCTGAGGGTTGTATGGTTGACCGTTACAGCAAGATCCTATTGCGACAATAAATGTGTTGCAGCATTCGTGGGTCTGAGGGTTGTATGGTTGGCCGTTACAGCAAGAACCTATAGGCACAATGGCTGTATTGCAGCATTCATGGGTCTGAGGGTTGTATGGTTGGCCGTTACAGCAAGAACCTATAGGCACAATGGCTGTATTGCAGCATTCATGGGTCTGAGGGTTGTATGGTTGACCGTTACAGCAAGAGCCTATTGTTACAATAGCTGTATTGCAGCATTCATGGGTCTGAGGGTTGTATGACTGACCGTTACAACAAGTTCCTTTTGTGACAATGGACGTGCTGCAGCATTCGTGGGTCTGGGGGTTGTATGGCTCACGGTTACAACAACCTAGCCATGATGGAAACAAGGAACCACCGCAACACTTATTTGTCAATGGATCGTATACCTGGCCGTTACAACAAGATCCCTTTGTGACAATAGTAGCATCGCAGCATTCGTGGGTCAGGGGGTTGAACTGTTGACTGTTACAACAAGATCCTATTGCAACAATAGCCGCATCGCAACATTCGTGGGTCTGGGGGTTGTATGGCTGACCGTTACAGCAAACCTCATTGCTTGCACAACATGGCTGACTGTTGCAACAGTACGGACTTGGTTCTCCTATATGACAGCCTAAAATAATAAAGAGATCAATGAAAAAATGAATAATGCTTACAATTTACAAATGAAATCAAAATATGCTTTTTAATTTATACTGGCAATTAAAGTTTTCAATAAATTGTGGAAAAACTCTACGATACATTTTAAAAGACATATAAAAGACATGAAACTTTGAACCTGTGAGTCGAGAGTCACGAGTGTAGAAGAAAACTGAAATAACCATATTGTTAGATTGAGATGAAGAACACATGATGGCTTCTACTATTTATTGAAAAATTTTGTCGTTACTAGTAGACATGCATTTTAGTGAGTGTGAGTACTGAATTCGAGTACAAGATGAATATCAATTATACAATTATATATTGCATATATCTACATAGCATAAAAAGATGTGTGTGCGATAGACAATCGCAACCTTTATAACCACAATGTTTGAGCATTTTCATGTTTAAATCAAGCACTGCCATGAACAAAGTTATACTTATATTAACCAAAAATAAGTCAATAACAATTTCAGGCTTTGCTAGTGTTTTTACACTGTTAAAACAGTAAATTAAAAGTGCTAAGGTTGTAGTTGTAATATAAACACGATTCTTCTTCTTTAATTAGAGGATATTTACATGTAGTTTGCATTAAGACCAATTATCTTATTACACTCCGTTTTTGTTAAAAATTTTTTTATTTTCATCGTTTGGTATTTTGAGTAAATACGATATAAGATAATTATGAGCACCCTCTCCATATATACTTATTATATCTAGTTTTAATGGATCTGTTAGGATTCCTATAGGCTTATAATTCAGTCGTCTGTCCTGAAGACATGTAATAACAGTGTAGAATATGATGAGTGATGATTTATGACGATACTGTGATCATTTATCAACCTGCTTCAATTAGTTATTTAATGTGAAAAAACGATGGTAAAATTCTAGAAAATTACTCGACATTTAGTAAGTGATTTACATATCTTCATGGTGGGTTCTGATTAAGATTTTAAAACCCCCACAGTGTCGTTTTCAGGAAATCTTTTAATTTCTTGACTTGGGATTTTTTCATGTGAAGGCTAATTTTAGATATAGGGAAACAAAATCACATGAAATAAGCATCCATGATAGATCCATGGTAATGATATTATAATTCAAAGGTTGCCAGGGCTTTTCCAAGATAATCCAAGATGGCCGCCATTTATTATAGGAATACACGTGCGTCAACAACAACCAGGGATACATGGTGCATTTTATACATTGGAATCTTTATCCATAAGGAACATGATTGATTTCTGTCAGGTCGTTTCTTGAGCTTAGATGTGTTACACTAGCTATGAAGGTCCTTCTTCCCCTACTATTGCTTAATATTGTAGAATGAACAACATGCATGTGGACGTCTAAAAATAATGATAGGCATTTCATTACAATTACATGTTCCTTGTATTCTTCTGAAACCATGAAGTATCTTGGAGTGTTTGATTTCTACCGAATATAATAAAGGGGTGCACTTCAGCCGTTTGTATGCTTTAATGCCATCTGATATATTTATGAAAATTATGTAATATAAAAAAATTCTAAAGCTTCTAGAATAAGTGAACGACTGAAAGTTAACAACCATTTAAATGACACACACATTCCATGATAAAATACTGAAAATGGACGTCGTTCACCAGAGCAAAACACATAATGGTGAGGGGTGCTTCCTTTAAATAGTCCATATTCCTACTTGCAATGTTAAACACTTTACGTGAAGGCGCAACGATCCATGAGACTCTTAATTGAACAAATGTTTGTGTTATGGAATTTTAAGCGAAGCAAATAAACATTCAAGTTTAACTTTTTAACGCCCCTCCACCCAAAACAAGGGCACTTTTTTTGCCAAGAATCGTAGGAGCTATAACCCTACATGGTTGATAAAAATGCTTGTAAGTTCAGAGCTAGCAAATTTGAGGCATCAGAATCCATTTCATGTATTCATATGTCTACTGAATTCACCTTACCTACCGACTTTTAAGCTTATTAAGAAAAAGGGCGGAATATGCTAAGTATCTTTTTGCCTTTAATTTAGAGGGGATTTTGCTGTCTTCTTCTTTCTTTTTGCATGCTTAAAATAATACAAAAACCAAAAACGACGGCACTGAGAAAAAGGATGTTTTCTTGAAATTTAAAATCGATGAATGGCTATAAATAAATTCAAAATTCACTGTTTTTCTAACCCCCCCCTTTCCATCCTACCTCTTCATATATAATGAATGAATCAGGACAAATTTTAGAGTTACTGTACTTATAATCATTTTTACAAATAGGGAGGCATTTTTCCGCGATAATTGCATTTTATATTCAGTACATAGCAGTTATGTCACAGTAAAATATAGCAACGTCCTATTCCATGCAAAACCATTGGACGAAAGTGCGACATATTCTTTTTTAAAATCGAAAATGGTAGAAAGTCTGTGGGGGAAATTACACAGAAAATGAAATTTCAAAGAAAAATGCCGACTGATTATCATTATGTATGATTACCTAAAAGAGAATTAAAACCGCAATGTAAACTGTTGTACACTTCATGCGCTTTCCCTGTTTCTTTGACTGAAAGTGGCTCAATCGCATTCCACCCGGTATCCATGACCAAATCTTCAACTAATTGCGCCTTTGGTAGGCAGAGAGTATTCGCGTGGAAAAATAATGTTCGTGCCCAAGACGGTGTTGAGATTGTGCTGTCTCTAATTTTGAAAATGTTCCAGCATTGAGGTGCTTGCTTCTCTACAGCAATTGGATGTCACCATGGTGATTTGCCGCAGCAGCCTTTTTAAGCAACTTATCTTATTAGGCTTACTGTGATGAATACGCCCTGCCAATCATTAAAAAAATTTAAATAATCCGGACTCAACCTTAAGTTATCAGATTAATACCAGGGGTATTGGATGGATGCTTAGGTAATTTATGTTCGTGTTTAAATCAAATTAATTATGTGCATATTTCTGCAATTTCTGCAGTTGAGAAAAATGCCATGAATTATCCAGAGACATGTCTGTGAACATTTAGTGAAAAAAAAAAAAAAACAATTTGTGATCCTGGTAGAGGGTATTCAATTACCAAGGTCCCGAGAAAAAGTGCTGATGCAGGAGCTTGTTAGCCAATTAATGACTATTCACAATGCATTATTATACAAACCAAAACCCCCGACCATCTCGTACATACTGCATATAGGTTCAAAGTAAATCTGGGCGAATTCCGCACGGTATAAGTGTCTTCAAGGTATCTTCCCTACGTTTTCTGCCTGGCATATATTTTTATTGTCATTGAAGATACAATTACAATAAAAGTTTTCATGTACTCACCGTGCGAGCTAACTAGAGGTTGTAAAACAAGAAGCACTCCAGTGAACAGAAGAAGCCGCACGCTCTCCATCGCTAAATCAAAGTCGTCTACAAACTTTGGAAGAACTTCCGAAGAAACTATATCCGTTCCTTCTACTCAAGTTCCAAAAGTAGCCAGTGCTTCGAAATATCTGACTGCACTCTCGCGTTTAAGTAGTCGCAAGACTTACGTCATAATCTCCCCACTATAAGGAAATAATTCTATTTACATTAAGGTACTAATCAGACGCTGAGGTATGTACTTTCATCATTAAGTGTGGAGTTGCACGTATATCGTTCTCAAAACAACGTAAGAAATACTCACAGTAGTGCACGTGTTCTAATTGCCCGTCGTTTAGTTACAACCTTTATAATGACAAAGTAGTAAAAGTACAACGTAATTGAATTTAATGTTCGATAACGCTCTATTTAGATGCAAGTCATTTATCCCCAGAGAAAGTATTGATCTCAAGAAACCAACAATGTATCTTCAAAGCCCTGTTTTACTACGCTGTTTTACCTGACGTAAAATTACATGACTGGAGGAAAAGAAGAAACAATTTATTCCATTCACATATCTAAAGGGGTCTCTGCTGCTGTGGCTTTTTTCTTTTGTTGTCATTTAGTATTCAGTTACACGAACAAAGTTGATTAAGCTGTAAGAGTTCAAGTTAATAACGTCGTTTTAACAGCATGTAATGTTGAACATTTCACGACATAGTGTTCTTCCGCAGTGAAAATATAGATCAACTTAAGGACCCAGTGATGTCCCTGCATCGAGGTACTGGCTCCTCTACAGCATTTGGGGTTCGCCCTGGCCATTTAACGCAGCATGTAGCTTGGTCCAGTCCATTGCTGTGTTCCTTAGGCCCCATTCAGCATAGATGATCCGAGTATTAACTGATCCATCGACTAAATGTGGCCGACTCTACTTCAAAAGCGATGCCAGTTATTCCATGACGGTTTCCCCGCCGTCGTTGCAAGGACCTAGCAATTAAACATCGGAGCGGAGATGTAATCCGTTTGTTGGCGCGTGTGGAGGCGGAGAGACCATCGGGAATCAGCGGCATCCCTTCTGAAGTGGGTCGGCCATATTTAGTTGACGGATCAGTTAGTACTCGGATCATCTATTCTGAATGGCATCATAAACATATTTATGTAAAACAACAAATTATATTTTTTTCAAAGCAATCATAAAAAAATTAAAAAACCAACTCAGACTTTATCATTATTTATTACTTAAAAAAATAATTAATGACAGGATGGCAAACAAATTTATGCCTAAGACCTCATTAAGGTAGACACGCACTGTTTGATTGGTCCACTGCGCAGGATTCTTGCAAAGTGCAATCAGTGGAATCACTTTATTGGTAATAACCTGTTGGCGCCTTCGTCTTCCGGAAGCTTTGAGCGAATGGTTCCGGGCTGTGATGAAGTGGTCGTATTGGCGATGACTTCTTCTTTCAAGAGAACCAATTGTTTTAACAGTGGGAGCCAAAGGCGACCGAAAGGTAGATCTTTTCTCTGCTTTTGTAATTTGTTTTTGTTGAAATTGTAAATACTGAATTACACGTAGATGAAGTTTGCTAAGTTACATCACTTCATTGCTTCTGTAAGTCCATGGCAAAGTTAAATGGATCTGTGCCGCTAAGTAAAAAAAAAACTGATGAATTCTTACTATCAAAATGATATGGAATTTTCTGTGGACGCCATGGACTTTTAAACGACGGTATACAGTAGACTTTAAGATAACAGACTACGTGTTTTTTCACAAATACAGAATACTGTTAAATTCAGAATTTTCAATCTTGGGAAGTTGAACTTTATCTCAGTGTTTGAAAGACCAGAATAATGAAACACTTTTCACTAACTAACCTTCTCACTGAGCACATGAGCACTGTTCATTGTCTAACGCACAGAAAATCTTTTCCCGCTATACTTCGCTACACAAGAATATTTTATCACCGCTTTCCTCGAGGAGAACAGGTTGCTTTGATCCCACAGAAATTATTATGTTGCATTTATCGCTTTTATCGCACTGGATGTAGTTCATCAAATACCCAGTGACACGTGAATCTCAATGAAGGGCGGAGTCCATCACAGTAACTTCTGTCGCAGTCCAGTGAAATTTGTCAACTTTCAGTAAAGTGTTTTCATTGGACTGCTACTGTACAAACACAGAGATACATTAACCTGCGCGCTTGGGTTATGAGCCGTAGCGACACGTATGTCATTTTATATTTAAAAGTATATTTCGCTGTGAGAACTCCCCTTGCCACATTCACTGTAATGAGATGCCCCTTTGAAGCTTGATATGGTCCTCCTGAAAGGTAGGACTTAATTTTGGCCTTACACGTACGCCCTTGGAGAGGACGGTGGAACGTGACGCCGAGTCCGGACCTTTCATAGTCCGACCGACCATGCATTTTAAAACCGCCCCCACAAATACACCAGGCTTGTTGTCGCAGGTGTTAAAACTAAATTAAAATAATAATTATATTTTTTGCAACCAATAAATGGATAGAACATATATAATTATTCTAAAATTGTAATTATAAGAAAAACACATTTGACATTAAAACATTTCTTATAAAACATTTTATAATACATTTTAAAGAATTTCTGGATGTATTTTTTCATCCAAATAAATGTTTGAAAAACTCCTTAGGCAGTAGCTCATGTCTATTTTGAAATTTAAGATGTTGTTGTTGTTGTTTTCGAATGAGCTCCTAGCAACTCTCGTGACAAAAAAAAAAGAAAAAAAAACAGGAGTAATTGCATGACGAAAAGAATTGTCGTTTACCCCCAGAACACATATTTCTTAGTGTTTGTTAGCAACAACCAATCAATGCCATTGATAGTGCATTCTCAAACATGAACATTATCTTTCTACGCGAATACTCTCTGCCTATGAAAGGTGCAATTAGTTGAAGACTTGGTCATGGATACCGGGTGGAATGCGATTGAGGCAACTTCTGTGCAGACAGCGGAGTAAAGAAAACGGGGAAAGTGCGTCATACGTGTGTTAGTGTGTTTACATTTAAATTGCGATTTTTATTAAGCCTCTTTGTAATTTATTATTTATATTTTTCTAATGTTCATTTTCTGTATCTTTTTTCCCATTTTAGATACATGACAACATCTCTGCAACGTACATTTTATAAATAAAACACAATAATCACACAATCTTCCTCTTATTATTATTATTTTTTTGTAAAGCACCCCCTCTTTCCCCAAAACGGAACAAAATTTCTTTTATGGTTCTACTCCTGGAGTAGCAGTAAAACCCCTAGCTACAGAGATCAAACGCAGTCAGGTAACTTAATGAATATCAAGGAATCCACCAAGGAATTTTAATACCTTATCACTAAAAGCTCTGCGGTGTGGTTTAAAAACGCATTAAAGGTAATTTTACTTAAAAGAGGTCATTATTCTGATGTTATACTAATGGTTCATTTTATTTATACTCCATGCGAACACATAAGTAGTTAAGGTGCCAGTAACTTCTTTGATGACCGCAATTTTGGAGTTGCAATTCAACATAGAAATGTGAAATATGCCCTCCTTAGACGCATTTTACACAGTAGAGGGAGGCTAATCAGTCAGGGAAAAAAAACAGCGACGGGGCGGGTGATTACAGCAAAACCACTTGCTTAAAGCTGAATGACTGAACTAAATGAAAAAAATGGGGGAAGAGGGGGGATAAGCCCTCTAGTCCCTCTCATCGACTACAAATGCTTCGTATGTGCGCACATACTGTAGGTCAGCCATATTACTTTTGATGAATTTTTAGCACCCAAATACTTTATATTATAAAGCTTGCCTTTAAGTTTAAAGCCGGTTGCATACACTGCAACTCTATGGTTAGTGTCCGTGATGTTGTATGCATCATATAAAAGTAGAACTCACTCGAAGGTAAGCCTGAAAAGAAGATTAATGTTGCGGTATTGTATGGTTTATCAACTAAAGTAAGTCAGGGGGTAGTATAAGACTTAGGGACTTGGTACCTGCTAGTCCGTGTACTCGAATACTAACTGCTAACAAAGGAACAAATAATTACAGCTACAAAAACACTCATATGTGATGCTATGTACTGTAGGATATTTCTTTCTTGTGACGCATTTTGATATCAAGTAAATCAACTTAACAGAAAATAATTGAAAATATTTTATAATACTTTGTTATAGGACAACAGTCCTTACAACAAAATAAACAGCAATGGCAACATGTTTATTTACTTTTAACTACTTCCTCATTATCAAACTTCCATCTCGACGACGTGCAGCCGTTGCTAATGCACAACTGCTTACGTTATATCTTGAAATAGTGTGCTTTTAATGACAAAATCCATTAAAAGACAGAAATAAAGCCACTATTAAAAGTCACTTTCATCTTAAAACTGGTCTGGTTTTAGTCTACTATAAAAAGGAGTTGGGCTGCTTACCAAAGTTGGTAGCGCATTTAAGTAAAGCATTACTGGCACGTACTAAAATTTAACGAACCATAAACTTTTTAACACGACTTAAAATTAAAGTGATTTCTTTATAAGGCGCGTGTTGCTAGGGATGTCTTTTTTTAAAGAGTGTGGAACAAAGGTATTTATAAGTTAGGGAACGGTCCTATGATACTGGTGCTGAGTGCCTGCCGACTTGAATGTACCATGTCAAAGACCACATTTCCATGGACACCATTGGTATACTTGGATCAATCCAAATCCGCGGGGACTCTTGCTGAGTGCAGTCAGTTAAACAAATTAACACGCATCCTCCTGGATTCAAGCAGAACAAAGAAAAGCTAGTAATGATGCTATTACGTTGGAAACAAGAGGAGGCGTGTCATTTAGTTAAGCTGATTGCACTCAGCGAGAGTCGCGGCAGAATTGGATCGATCTACGAAGACCGATGGTGTCTGTGGGAATGGGGTTTACGACTCGTCAAAATCATTATTCATACTTTTGTTTTGTTTAGAGGAAAACAGTGGTTGGTACGTGCTTGGTGTTGTTTTCACAGAAGTGAATAGAAAGTTCCTTAGTCCTATCTGCAATCACTGTAAATTTTGAATATACTATTTGATTTTTTTACCATGGTCTTCTTTTGAGTGAGTGCGATATGCAAATATTCGTTGTTTTTGTTGTTGTTCATTTTTATTCACGTCAAAGTTTCAAACAACAGGATGTTTTTTCTCTGTTGATGATAAGATAAACATATCCGTGCCACCCTTGAAACTGTGTTGAAAGTCAGCCGATTGAAAAAAAGGATCCAATTCTGCAAATGTTTTCATAAATTTCCGAGCAACTAAGTGTACGCTAGGAAACATCTAATTTCTTATTTATTGTTCAAAATTTAATTTCTTCAAAATTCAATAGCAGAGAGAAAAGATCGTATGTTTAATAGTCTATTAAATTATTGAGTCTTTGCGTTTACGTACTTACTCACATACTGGTGAAGGCACCGTGAAAATCCAGCACCTTTGCGTTCTGATTTGCACATTAATGTAAATAGAATTATTTCCTTATAGTGGACAATTTATGACGTCATTGGTGCGGCTACTTAAACACGAGAGTGCAGTCAGATATTTCGAAGTACTGGCTGCTTTTGGAACTTGAGTAGAAGGAACGGACTTAGTTTCTTCTGAATTTCTTCCAAAGTTTGTAGACGACTGATTTAGCGATGGAGAGCGTGCGGCTTCTTCTGTTCACTGGAGTGCTTCTTGTTTTACAGCCTCTAGTTAGCTCGCACGGTGAGTACATGGCAATTTTTATTAAATTTTAAATAATTAAAGTCAATGAAAATATCTCATTTATAGGCTCATCACAAAAGTTCCGAAGTGAGTGAAAAAGGTACCGCCAATGTAGCAGAATCTGTTTTTAAAGATCTCATCAATATATTACGCGTTTTCACGTTTTGTAACTTAAGATATCGAGTCTGACAGTCCGAAGCAAAGAATTTGTAAAGCAATAGTAAAGCAATGCGTTTATGAATAGCCGTCGATAAATTATAGTTTTTTTTAAGGAAAATATCTTTCAAAGCCCTTTTCTGGAAGTCTTCACCTTTGACCTAAAACATACCACTGATCGTCCAAAGCGTTCGCCAATTATGCACAAAATAATACGCGAACTTCCTATTTTCTGACCGTAGTTATTGGCGATACATTTTGTGTTTTTTTTCTTAAAAAACTTAATAAACAAGAGGCCAAGAGAATGAAATAAAAATATAAAAATATGAAATAAATTGCACTGCAACACATTTGGTTTTTATTTTTAAGTTTTCAGATTAACTGTATAAAACTTATGTTTATTCTTGAACACAGTATCCCTTGTTGTGGATGGTAGGGCGTGGAATTATAGTAAAGCTAAAATATCCAAAGTTTTGGGGAGTTAGGTGTAAATGTCATATTTTACTGAAATATTTGCGACATTTTACATCATCTACCGATATTTATTTGCAGCGTTTAAAATCCCATTCCACATTTCTCTATTTAACTAACAGTTTCATGGATCGTTACGCCTTCACGTAAACGTGTTTAACATTTTCAAATAGGAAGATGGACGATTAAAAGTTAGCATGGTTCACCATTATGTGTTTTGCTCTGGTGAACGGTGTCCATTTTCAAATGTTTTATCTCGCAATGTGCATGTCATATAAATGTTACTTAATGTTTGCTAGTTTTCAGTCATTCACTAATCCGTAATCTAAATTTTAATATCATCTTGAAAAGTGTAATTTGTAATGACACCTGCCTGTAAATTATAATCTCTGTGTTCTTCATTCTTACAATTAATTCAAATTACTGTGAACAAGTTTATAAACAGCTGTAGTATATTCCCCTTTAAATAAAATAATTAGATAGATGCTGTTGGATGTTTTGCCAAATTTTAGGAGAGATACACGAAAGATGTAATTGTAGTGAAACACTTTTTAATCAAAACGTGTTCGGTATATACTGTTGATGCCATGTAGAATTAAACAACACACACACACATATCAGCACAAGCTTCCTAACATAGAAATTTAAATGAATCCTCGTTATTTAAAGTTAGTTTAACCAAATTGTACACAGAAACATTGTACATTAAAAAATTTTAAAAAAATATCCCTTATATTTGTCGAAAGCAATTCACCCAATTTTTGTTACATACTTGAAACGAATTCTAACGTACGGCGCACAATATACAGGACACAGTTTTGTTGAATGAGCGGTTTTAACTGTTGAACTGTACGGTGTGTTTATTTCGTTACGACCGAGGTGTGCTTAATAAGACACCGCGAACACCTGTCAACAAACATCACTTAGGCATGCTCCCGTAAGGTCAGAATTCATAATTTGTCCTAAGGCAACCCGGTCTTTTAGGGGCATGGTAAGAAAGTTATTGCGGCGCCTCAGTATTAACTGATAATGTTACTTGTTTGCATAAAATTACTTTAAGTGAGTATGAATGCTCATTACGCCAGGTAGCTGCCGACCTCTGAAAGAGAGAGAAAGTGCGTGATTCTCGAAATCCAGCGAGTGGTTGATCAGATCTGCCCATATTTCGGTGAAGATCCAACAAAAGCCTAATCAAATAAGTACATTGTTATTTTAGCATTTCTTTCGGATGATCTGTTTTCCCCATCGATTGGCCATTTGCATTAACAGCACTATCTGCTCTCCTAATTAATGATATAAGTACAAGTGGTTTTGCTCCCCCCACCTCTATTTGGCAGACATATAAATTTTAAGGTCATAAATTTTAAGATGCTCCAAATGGTACCGTAGGGCATTTTTATTGTCTGTAGCAGTACCAAGCATGATTTATTTCTTTTTTTATTGACAGCCAGTCTGAGTTCAGGACGTGAAAAAAGCTTTCTACATTACTCGGGATTTATTCGCATAAGCACTTTTGTATTATAATTTTGATAGTTAAGGTGAACAAATAAAATGGGGGATGGGGGACATGCCATATTTGGCGGCTATAAAATTTGTATAAAAATTCGTTTAAGTCACAAAGTCAATGTTGAAACTGGCTGGATGATTGCCTAGAACTTTATGGAAACAGCAGGGGCGGATCCAGAGATATTTTCTGACAGTCTTCCATATTATATTTGTTGGTCTATCCTCCATTTTTTTGACCGTCCTCCGACAGAAAAAATTAGATACCCGTCAATGTAAACCTGAAAATCTGACCGTCTTCCGGAAGACCCAGAAGACGGTCTAAATCCGCCCCTGCTGTAACAGGGTGATTGATGATATACATATCACCAGATGTCAGCATCACTCATATTCTACGTGGCTACCACAAATATATTCTTGCTACGTAATTGAATTATAATTACGGGCGATCGGAAACCTAAGAGATCCATTACCAAGAAGGGGACGGGTGTTCATAAATATTTTATATCTTATGTACTATACCCAAAATTCTACATGAAAAGGAAGGGCATTTTTAATTAATTTGGGGAACGGTTGTTGGTCAGATTTAGAAAGTTAAAGAATCCCGCTAAAAAAAAAACAAACAAGAAATTGCGTTAATCTTAACAAAATAACTATTTAAAAAGTATAAGGAGATTCCAATCGTTAATCTTGTATAATAATAATAATAATATAATAATAATAATTTATTATTAGATGAAATTGCAACCCTAAGGTTGAAGTTGTACAAAGAATGTTTAAAAGAAAATTGACAATAAACTTAAAATTATAAAACAATAAATTATTCTTAAAATACTACAAATTAAAAAGGCATCCATAAATTACTACAAGTTAAAAAGGCAATAATTAATAAAGGAATTTTTAAAACGTTCCGTCTTCACTTTTGGTTGTAAGAATTTGGTGTTGTTTCGTAAAGGGCGGGTGTTTCTTTCAGGCAATAAATGTCCTAACTTTTCACAATTTTTTTAAATTTTGTATAAAACCTCTGATACAGCAAATGTCTACGTTTGTCTAGGGTGTCAATGTTACAAACTTTTAAGGCATCATCATAACTGAGACCAGGGCAAATAATCCTTAAGGCTCTCTTTTGAACTGACTCTAGACATTCAGATTGCTCAGCAGTCAGACCTGGTCCCCACACTGGACAGGCATATTCTAAAACTGATCTTATTACAGACTGGTAAATAGTTAATAAATCTTGTATGTCCAGTTTTGCCCTCTTTAGCTGTCTGAGATAAAAGAGCTTTAAACATGCCGTAGCAGACATGATTTGGATGTGTTCAGCCCACTTGAGGTCTGGGGTTAAAATAACACCAAGTATCTTAAACTTTTTGACCTTTTCTACACGTTCACCATCTATTTCCAATGTTGGTATTGTAAGATTACAGTTCTTGGTAAAATTTATGTCCATCGACTTAGTCTTCTTTACATTAAGTTTCATCTTGTTTTGCTTGACCCAGTCAGCCAATTGGTCTATTGCTTGTGGTAGATGCGGTGTTTTGCCAAATTTGCAAATTTCGTAAATGGAGGTATCATCGACAAACTTAATGTCTGAACAACAAGTTTTCAGGTCATTTATCATTGCAAGGAAAAGAATGGGACCTAATTTAGTGCCCTGAGGCACTCCCCCCACTTGCTGAACCCAATCAGATTTAAAGCTACTGCATTTTACTCGTTGCAACCGTTCGCAAAGGAAGGAATTACAAACTTGTCCAAAAGTTATTGCTTATATTTAACAATTTCATTTGCAATGATTCTTAAAAAATAAAATAGAAAGAATCACTGAACAGATTGCTTGTTGCCGACAGACGCAAAATGGCTCCTTTTTCATTTCAAGCCGGAAATGTTACCATCTGAAATGACGTAAATTACGGTAACGATAACGGGCGTCGTCACCTGTCTTAGTACCTTTAACGAGTGTAATTATGTTTATATCAATTAACGTCACACATTGATGTAGTACGTTGCGTGAACGAAAAGCTCATTTTTATCCCTTTTGCAGAATTCAGGTATCATTATATTATAATATTAAAACAATTTTCAAAGGAGTAACTTTATTACTTTGAGGAAGACATCCATCAGTTTTATCACTGCAAACACAACTTGCAGACTTTAAAGCGATTAATGTTACTATTTTTCGCTCGACGGTGTACATAATAAAAAGTGAATAGATAGATAAAGCAGTTAAAGAAGGTGTCATAAACAACATTTCAAAGAGCATGCGTTACCCATTTCACATTAAAGATTAAAATGTACTTGGGGTCATTCAAAATTGGGAAACCTCATGGGGATGGGCTTCATTTAAACAAAATCTTAAATAATGAAGCAATGGTTTTTAATTGATAATTCAGACAACAGATTATAGACAAAGGCCTGAAAAGCGCACCGTTACTCAAACGTTGTTTACTTTAACCACCAACGCATGGCTTATTGAAAACCTCTGGGCAAATAAACGCATAGCGTCCTCTCACGAGCGCAAGTTTTGGTCTTGTAGAATTCCCCTCGAAATTTCCCTTGATAATGGTGTCTGTTTTGGCGTCCATGACGAAGATCAGTACGAGCGTCTCCCCAGCAAACCTTTTCGGTTATAACCGTCATGGTACCGTTATAATGATGTTCTGTGTTTGCTGGGTTTAATGCACGGTGGACTTATGAACTGCTCCAAAAAAAAACACCGAAAACACCGAAACATCTGCATGCGTCAATATAGATATAGAAATCTTGTTTATAAAACGTCCATTTTGAAAAAAAAATGGCAAAAGCTAAAATAACTCTGCAAGAATAGTTATTAATCCATGTATCGATCTCTTTATTGTTTTAGGCTGTCACGATGGAGAGGACTGTTGTGGCAACCAGCCTTTGACCAGTCCATCCTACACATGTTGCGGCTCCAGCCCGTGTAACACGCAGCAGCAAATGTGCTGCAGCGGCAATGTTTACAACTACGGCCAGAACCGTGCCTGCTGCGGCAACCAGATGTACGACACCAGCACACACATATGTGTTGGCGGGAAGGTGTATCCCATAGGGACCACCCCACAGCCGTCGTGCGGAAACGTTAAGTACGATCCAAACGAGAAGATTTGCTGCGAAAACTACCTCTACAACAAGTCGCCATATGCTGCATGCTGCGGGCCAACAGTGTACAATACCGATCTCCAGTACTGTTCAGATGGTCAGATCGGCACCCATGGAGGCAACTACGTGAGATGCAATGGTGTCGTGTACGACCCAGCTTTTTATATGTGCTGTTCCAGCGGAACCAGGCCCCGGCGGCAGTACATTGAATGCTGCGGTGACGTGGAGTACGACGTGCGCCAGGACATGTGCAGTAATGGCGTCGTTGTCCCGATACCACAGTACTGTGGAAGCCAGCAGTACAACCCGGACACGCACCTGTGCTGTGGGAACGAAGCCAGGCCCATCACTGCTACACTTAGATGCTGTGCCGACGTGTTCTACGATTCTCGCACACATACCTGTCAAAATGGAGTCGTCGTCGCCATTATAGGGTACCTTCCAAGCTGCAACGGTGTGTCGTATAACCCAAGGTACCAAATCTGCTGTGGCAACACCCTTCACGCTCAGTCGGGCTATCCATACCTCACCAAAGCCTGTTGCGGACAATCTGTTTATGATATACTAACACAAATATGCGTCGTTGACATGATCTACGTTATTGGCCAGGGCCCGGTACCTAGTTACTGCAATGGACAGGCGTACTCCCCTGCAAACCAGATGTGCTGCGGCGGACAGTTGTTCTCCCTGGAGCCGTATCTCAGTTGCTGTGGACAGACTGTTTATAACGTGATGCTCAAATACTGTGCCAATGGCTTCCCAATCCTCCTGGGCGGAACTCCTCCCATTTGTGGTGGTGTCCAGTACGACCCAGGCACCCAGCTGTGCTGTGGAAACACCTTGCAACCAAGAGCCTCCAATCTTGGATGTTGCGGAGGCGCCATATTTTACAACACAGATACCCATACGTGCGTCAACGGCCAGATTATCCCCATCCAACCTCAGCACCTGTGCAACGACGCGGCCTATGATCCTACGACTCATCTCTGTTGCAGTAACAAAAACTTGTACTCGAAGGCTTCAGGAATTGATGCCTGTTGCGGCGACTTCGGGTACGATCTTTCAACGCACGTTTGTGTCAACGGTCAAATCAGGCCAATTTCCATCAACTTCTATCGCTGTAATGGTGTGGTGTATAATCCTCTTACACAAGACTGCTGTGGGACCGAGATCATTCCCAAAGGATCGACAAGCAGAGGATGTTGTAACAATCAGCCATTTAGTCTGATATACCAATCCTGTTGTGGCAGCACAGTCATCACCAACGGCCAGGGTACGGCATGTTGTAACGGCCAGGTCTACAATTCAATGACCAATAAGTGTTGCGGTGGTTCCTTGATTCCGTCATGGCTAGATTGTTGTAACGGTCAGTCCTACAACCCCCAGACTCAAGAATGCTGCGGCACATCCATTGTCACAAAAGGAACTTGCTGTAATAATCAAATCATAAACCCCAACTTCCAAGGATGCTGTGCAAACAACCCTTTTATTCTGAGTACCCAAGAGTGTTGTGGCAGTACTGTAATCAATAAAGGTTCTCAAGCCTGCTGCAACGGCCAGGCATATAACCCGTCTGTATACGTTTGCTGTGGAGGGACCCTTTACCTTAAATCGTACAACGTAGTTTGTTGTGGTAACAGCCCAATCAACCAGGCCACATCGGGTTGCTGCAATGATAGGTCATTCAACCTGGGAAGCGAAGAATGTTGTCATGGCAGCGTTGTACCAAAAGGTTCCTGTAATTTCTGCGGCAATTTACAGTACAATCCATCTATAGCCATTTGCTGTGGGAACACACTCTACGGAAGGTTGGCCGGCAGTCAATGTTGTGGAAGCACTCACATCAACACTGCCTATCAGGGGTGCTGTGCTGGTAATCCTTATTCTCTGTCAACCCAGGAGTGTTGTCAGAACACAGTTGTAAACAGAGGATCATGTTGTAACAACCAACCATACAGCCCAGCCAGTCAGATATGTTGTGGTGGAGCTCTCTATTGGAAACAACAATATGACCAATGTTGTGTTAATTCCCCTTACAATTCTAATACGTACGAATGTTGCCTGGGTAATATTGTACTAAAAGGCAGTTGTAATTTATGTAACAACCAACCATACAACCCAGCCACTCAAATATGTTGTGGCAGCACTGTCTATTGGAAAGTACAATATGATCAATGTTGTGTTAATTCCCCTTACAATTCTAATACGCACGAATGTTGCCTGGGCAATATTGTTCAAAAAGGCACTTGTACTTTATGCAACAACCAACCATACAACCCAGCCAGTCAAATATGTTGTGGTGGAAATATCTATTGGAAACAACAATATGATCAATGTTGTGCAGGCAACCCATACAACTCTGCAACCCAAGAGTGCTGTGGATCAACGGTGGTAAACAAAGGGAGCTGCTGCAATAACCAACCTTTCGACCCAGCAACAACCACCTGTTGTGGAGGGTATAGGATTCCAAAGAACTCGGCCGTGGCTGGATGCTGCGCCAACACCGTGTACAACAAAGATACCCACATCTGCTGTGCTGACGCCATCTATCCTAAAGACACTTATATCTGCTGCAGCGGAACTCCCTGTAATAAGCAAACTCAGCAGTGCCTGGATAACCAAGTGGTCCCCTGTGATGGTACTTGTGACCCTAACGCCGTCGTTGATCCACCACCCCAACAGTCTATCCCTGGGATCGATACCTTACCAGACGGGGTGCTCGTTTTACCGTAACCAATAACCACTTTGACTGTTTTCAACTTGACAAAACAAGTTCTAAAAAAACTTAGCTCATAGCTGGGCAGCTAAATGAATCTTATTTGTAGTTATTTAATGTTCTCATGAAAATACATTGATTTGTAATATTATGCAAACAAAATGACTGTACCCAAGTTAAATCGTATGTGATCGGTATGTTCACCAAAATATCTGAAGAGTTGGAGGCAGTTTTTGGTGTTAATATTTTAGTTCTTGAAGACACCGGGTATTGCTAATACCTTATGGCTAATATTAAGCTATAATTGTGCACTTTAAATATAAATCATCACGGTTAAATACGTTTGGTGGTTCGTAAACAGAAATAATAATTGAGCGTTTTTTAATTATAGTCAAACTACTCCATATTTTTGTATAACATCACTTTGTATTTACATGTAAAGAATTTGAATTGCGAATTATTATTTGAAATCAGTGGCGAATGTACAGTAATTGCTTGTTGTTAAACATCCTATACACTTAATAACCGATAGTTCGTTAGGTCCGTAAAGTACATTGGTTTTGGGGACGTATCTACAGATACATACTGCTTGGGTTCTATTTTTTAAAAATAATATATGTAGTAGTATTAAGTTTTAATCGTTGGTGGTTTTGTAATACGATTTTTTGGGCTAAGTTTAAATTAATTCTTCATATGACGTCATGTCTTCTTCATGACACGTCTATCTGGTGTCACAATCCGTCTTGGGTATAGTCTGTGGTCGTCCTTGGATATGCTTAATTCACTCTTCCAGATTTTTTTTGTCATCAAACTATCGTGAATTAGTAATACACAAATGAATTTATTGTGATTGTTCACGTAGCCATAACATGTAGACCAATACAACGTTGTGTTTTTTTACGATAAATATACACATTTGCCACTGTTTAGTGTAAAAGATTAAAAAAAGTGTAGATGTGGACTGTTGATATAGTAATAAAGAAATTATAAAATGTATAAAAGCCTCTTAGTTTACTTTATCTACAAATGGCCGAATTATTTATGTAGAAATACATGACTGATTTACATGATATATTTTGGACATGCCAATTAAAGTTAAAATGGATGATTTCGCATTAGGGAAAGCCATATAAAAAGAGAGACTAAAAACTGCCTACTTATATCATAAGTCAAATCTCTCCATTCGCTATAAATAGTTTATAAAAGGTTTATATTTGTTTTAAAGATAATGAAAATAATCATATGCAACATCTAAATTAAGAGTCCTGTGACATTCTTCAAGAATGGCACGTTTCAGTTGTTTGAGCCAAATTATTTTTTGAAAACCATGGTAGTGCAAAACTACGAATATAGGATTAAGATTTCGAGAAATGGCAATTTCTGTTAAAAATATTTCATTGTATTTGGCTTTTGAAAAATATTTGAGACATGAAATATTGTCGTTGGTCTGTAACGAAAGTTATCCAAAAGGAATCGGCACTCGTTTCAAAAGTGTAAAATAACCCACATGCTTTAAAAGTCACATTTCAAATATGACCCCATTCCCATAGATATTTAGATCGATCTATCCCTGTGGGGAGTCTCACTAGATTACAGTCAGCTTAGCCGGCTTAAGCGTCTGTCCTGCCTACTAAAAGCTGTAAGGGGGTATTTAACTGTCGTGCACGCTCGGCTGACTGCAATTTAGCGTGAACCCCCAGGGAGTTAAGTCGATCTAAATCTAAATCTCTGGATCGATCTAAATCTCTGGGAATGCACCCTATGACACGTTCACATAATACACACTTTCTATTGTATTACACATTACTTCTTTTATTTTTATTATAAATATCTAAATATGGTTCATATCCCAGAAGATCTAAAACGGTTTTACATACAACATCAACTTTTTCTGCCATTTCGAAACCTATCTCCGTCTCCCACTTATGCGCTGTTTTTGAAGAGTTTTGTCTTTTCGTTCCGTAAGTTCCATTTTCTTCAGAGGAAGACGTCGCTCTATGAATCCAGTGTTCTACAACAGGTGGTAGTTTTTGTCCTATAAAACTATATATTTTTGTGCTCCAGTATAAAGGTTTAGCTGCAAGATCCTCATATTTAATTTGCATAATACGCCCTGGATATTTTGCCTCCAAAACCTTTCCATGTGTAATATCAGGCAATAATTGTTTGTTGCAACGCTGATCGACTTCACAATCCAGATTGCACTTAAAAAGAGCAGCTTTCTTTTTCGACAATAAGGATGCCCTTGGGTCACGGAGAAGATGGATGACCTTGACATTGGGAAGCTGGGTCAAAATTGGTTCCACTGCATTCATGGACAATCGCACTAATTTCATCACTTTCAAAGTGGAGTTGTCACAAACATTTTTCATCTTGGTCATGCAGTTTGGTTGTTTTCCCCGTACGCGAATATAAGCGCAGTTTTCATAATCTTTTAAAGCTTTCTGTTGGTTTAAAGTTAACAAATTGTAAACGTTGTATTTTTTAAGCAATGTTACAGTGCTCGGTACGTCATGCACCTCACACGTGATCAGTTTCTTTATGACGTCAGCATAAATGAAATCTTTTTCTCTCTGAGAATGGGTCCCCGATATTTTTCTGAAAAAGAGAACATGGAACACATATAACGGCACTGGATAAAGTACAGCATGGGGAGAGGTTTGAAATCCCCAGGTAAATTCAATTTGTTGCAATGTTAAGGTCGGATGTGCTAAGAGAAATCCAAGCCAGAATTCTGAACGCATTCTACATGTAAGTGCATGAATTGCTTCTTGTGTGAAAATGCCGTTACCCCTGGAACCCGTTAAATGTGAGTTTTTGGCAGGAAAATCCTGGCGCTTGAAATGCTTTAATACAACTTTGTCGAACAGAACATTTCGGAGAAACTTTCATTTTAAACATGTGTACTGAAAGTATAGTTAACAATTTGAAAACATATAGAGTAGCTGTGGTTACCTCTGGACTGGCAACTAATGACGTTTATCAAAATGTTACAGAGCAAACGTTATTTGAGGGCACCTTGCGATGTTGTTTCCTACCTTTGAGTATTATTAGAATATGTATAGATGGACGGCTGTTCTAGAGACTCCTTTATCCAACGAAGAGGCTCGTAGAAATACACGGCATTGGGATTCTGGTTGAAAAGTTGACCTACAAGGCTCGACCCGCTGCGGACATAGGTCAGAATGATCACTCCATCTGTCGGGGAATAACGAGACATGAAGGAACTGTTTCGTTGATGTGATATCAGGTCAGTGTCTGGGGAAAAACAAAAGATAAAGGCATGCCATGTGTGAAAGACAATTACAAAGGAAATATTTAATATTCCTGGAAGTTTTTGCACCTTTCCCTTAATCAACATGTCCCATGTCTATAACCGTTAACTTAATTACGATATATTGTGTTCTAAGTGATTTATATGCGTCTGTTAATGTAGATAATTCTTGGAGAAATCAAAATGGTAAACTTAAAATAAAAAAAATGTTTATAGGTTTTAATTGTCTAAATGATTGTGGATAGGGTGGACCTTGATGTTGAAGAAAAATTGCTGAAATTTACACAAAATCAGCACGATTTAATTAAGTTTCGTCTTGATAAGAATGGCCACGTTTTGAGCCACCGTTTGTAATGGGTATCAGTTATATGACGTCATGAATATTAAGAAAAGGAATCAAGAGATATCAGCAGTGGAAGCAGTGACTAAAATGAAATACAGCATGTATAGTAAAAGTATGTGAATTCTAAAAAAGAGAAAAACAGAAAAGAGGGAGAGGTCTAAATCACATGCACATTAATAACGCAAATACTTTAAGACTACATGCAAATTGAAAACATATTGGTCTAGCATATTGCATAGATGCACTGTTAACTACCTGCATGATTTTGAGAAATATAGTTTTTGTGCGAGTAGGGCATCTTCCAACATTCTCTCTCTCTCTCTCTCTTTTAATTACACACACGGGCGCGCACGCCGCGGGAGGGCCCAACTGCTTAAATACCACCTGCTGCCCCCCCCCCCCCACCCTACGCACACTCACACTCATTAAAAGTAAAAATTGTACAGCAAGCGAAACGAGATCAAATTATACATCTGTATCTCTCTGCCCCTGAACATCAAAGTAAAAGTAAGGTTGTCCTCGTGGACCGTTTTATATTTTGGATATTTCATCCTCGTGCCCCACACTTAATGAAGATAGCAATCGACTGGGTGTCATATTAAAGACGCTTAATTACGTCCTTAACTCAGCACTACATATTTGGTTTACAAATGTCTTTTTGTTGAAGCCAGTAGATATGGAAGTCAGCAATCGTATGCGCTGTCTCACTATCAAGATGTCTGTTATTACTGAGTCAAACATTTCGTGACAAGTGATAATGAAACTGTGATTCACATTTCTTACACCAGTCTAGGATTCCATGTTACAGAGAGGTCCCTGTTGTCCTGACTGGTCCATGACCTGAGGAATATTTTTAACTGTAAGGACGGGGATATTTTTATATGCCAAATTTGACAATTTGATGATTCCATATTTTTCCGACAAAGTTCCGTAAAATGTCCCTTGGGCTATGGCCGTATTGCTTAGGTTTTTTATACGACATCAAGGATGCCTATACTCTGGCATTTTGTATTAACAACCTTAGATATTAGATGTGCTAGCATTCTAGTAAATATCAAAATACAATCATGCTAGTAAGAGTCCTAGCTGGCGCATAGATATCATTATTAATGCTTTTCCAAAGTTGAAAGACCTACCCGGTACATATGCTTTTTGAGCGGTATGAGACAAATATTTGCGACTTATTTTCTCCAGTCTCCGACTTCACCACGCACCCGTAATGTCCTCTTTATGTCAGGGAGTACAAGCATAGACAAAACTCAGTGATCATCAGTTAAGGATAAACTGAACTCAAAGCTTGATTAAATACTAGTTTTACCTTGAAATGCAATTGCCATCTTGGGTAGTTGTTCCTCCTCTTGTCTATAAGATTGTAAAAGCACGGCTATCTCAAAGCTAACAACACCACAAATGAGGATCACCCACCCCAGTTTTCTCTTCTCCATGCTATCCTACACAGACTCGATTAAAATTAATGAGACTGCGACGTCCTGAATTCAGTGCGGAATTCAAAATAACTAGTTTCACTCGTGTTTGATGGTCTCACGTGGTTATCTACATGTAGTATAGGCAGTAAAGGGGCCGAATCTAATTAATGTACTCCATTATGCTAGGAAGGTGAAAACAAAGTTGATAATTAGAAAAATGGCCACCTTTGTCTGCCTTGATGTCTGATATGAATCTGTACGGTGAAGACCCGAGGTGACAAGCGTGGCTTGGTGGTTGACTTCTCCAGCACTGCGCCGTATGACATGGAGAAGCATCTTTCACTGTATAGTTTAATTTCAACATCCATCCAAGTGAAACTTTTTGACATTAAGAAAAGAGAAGAAAAAAAAAGTGTGTGTGTGTCAAAATTAAGAATTTTCTAAATTTAGCCCTATCAGCAGCGCTCATGGTTCACGCGTAAAAAAAGCTTGGGAATCAAACATTATCCATGTGGACGAGTGCTTGAAATATTTCCCTCAGATCCCTTTTTGATACGAATAAATGATTCTAAATACCGTATGGGGATTCAATGTACATATTTGGTTTGGTGGAAACCCGAGACTCAAACCGCAGTAGAAATATCGCAAACTAGACGAAACACCCTGTCTTAATATACTGTACTTCAACCTGTATCTTTGCCATCGTTTTGGTTGGGGTATTTGATATATCTTTCCTAGTACAAGTTTAAAACGTTTTACTACTCATAAATATTATCGTATCAGCCTATTTATCATACGGTTGATATAACAACCGAATCGAAACGAGGCTTAGTGGCGGAGGCTATAAACAGAGATGACTATATCTCACTCAACAACTATAGGCCTACAGTAAAATAAAATAAAATAAAAGTAAATTAGCACAAATCGGACTGAGTTACTATTAATAAAACTAAACAAGGGCGAGACAACTTCAAACACTGGTGTATGGATAATTGAATGGGGTAATAGTCGACATGGTAAGGTAGTTAACGGAGACTCTCAAAGACACACTGGAAGAAAAAACGAAACAGGAAGAAAGAATGTGCATGATAGAAGACTCACGTGTGGGTTTTTCTTTAAAATGTTTAATTTCAACATTATGTGGACTTGACTCATATATATTTTTGTTTTATTTCAACAACGGGTGGACATCAGCCACATACGTTTTGATCGTGAACATTGGTGAACAGTTGCTCACCTGAAGTTACGCCACACCTGTTGTGATTTACATAACAATAACTAGCTCGACGCAGTGGGAGCTGTTTTCCAGAATGGTCACTTGACAGCTGGACACCGCTGCGTGAAGACGGCGGGATAGGTGTGGTGCAGTTGCAGGTCGGGATTTTTTGGGCGTAGAAGAAAAACCGCGTCTTTGTAAGTATTTCTACTTCTTTGATAACCTCCGTCATTAAATACAAGTTGCGCAGTAGAATGAACCAAAAGTTACGACAATTGTGCATAATACTTTATTTTGTCGGTCAAAATATCAAATATATTGTTTTGAATAAGCGTTGCAATGCTGTGGGATTGAAAATATGCAGCGAAAATGGGGGTCTCAGTTGCACACTACACAATGATGAAGAGATGGGTACTTCACACTAAGACTGTCCGCCGTCTCCAGAATGCCGTGTGTTCTTCATACGAACAAGAAGAACCACATTTCTGTTTTGTTTTTTCATTATTATTTAAAGGAATGGCTTAACTTTTAAGTTGCATCCAAATAACGTGCAATATATTTGACATACTTTTCAAGGAGCAAATATAGAGATAATAAATGTACATGCTGCATTCATTATTAATTACAATAGATGTGCGACTGTAGCAATTACCACTGTCAATGAAATGATTTGGTTTTCAAATTCTTTTCTTTTTATGTTTTGTAAGCAAGGCATCTTAAACATTTTCCTCAAATTTGATTAAATTTCAGGATGGACAGTCATCCACGAATAAAAGAAATAATTGCAAATTCCTTCTAATATTTTAAATCTTATTATTATCATTCATAATTGTCATTTTCACAATGCTTTGGCGCAGGTCTCTGCTCTTGGAGTATTTTCTAGTTATATCATATACTTATCTGTCTTCCAGAATAAACAGTTGACAGTTGGACACCGTAAGGTGAAGACGTCAAAACAGGTGAGGTGCAGTTGCAGCTCGAGCTGTGCGAGAAATAAATTCACGATTGTGTACATGTAAGCATCACTGCTTCTTTGATAACCGATGTTATTAAGTAATAATTGCGCAGTATATTTTCCATATTATGCCTATAATTGCCAAACAAATTATTCTCCAATAAATGTGACAGTGGTTCTTTATTGAAAACACTGAGACTGCCAAGAACACTAACTTAGATGCTTGCTTGCCGAGCCTGAACTTTAAACAAACCAATCAGCACCCACGTCTAGTTAATAATAAGTACGTTTGACTCTGTGAAACATCATTTTAGGGCCCTTTGGTCAAAAACTGGCTTAAAAGCCTCATTTTCTCATTTCAGAAGCCCACCGAACCAGCACCAGCACCAGCAAGCAGCTCAGCCGTTTGTTAGTACTGAGGAACCCTGCGCCCGTTCATGCATTTATTATATTAAAACCGAATAAATACATTTTTCTGTGATTTTTCTTTTTGATATGATGGAGACGATTGACGTACTTCTAAGGGAGAGGTAGAAAACGATATAAATGTGATAACTGCTTCAGTACTTTAAAATCCAATTTGCTTAATACGATCTGTAAACATTGCTATTGTAATTAAAGTTTAATGTACAGACGCAGCCTGTCTGTATATGTTGCCATCAACTGCGTCTTCTTTTGTCGCCGCGCTGCACCTTTCATTGTATAGTTTAGATAATCATTTGAGTAGTCCCCAAACTTACTGGTGTGGTTCATATGGCCCCAAGACACGGGTCAAGTTCACGAATAACACTTTTGTCAATTTTGCTAGCAGTATACCATTTTGTCACACATTATATTCTGTAAACCTAAATGGAAACGAGCCTTGATGTAGAATAGGCATTTACTTTCTTCCCACTCACTGGACTGATTCTATTATGAAATGCGGGCAATTTCAAATAACGAGCTCATTCTTTACTTTTGTAACTTCACAAACTTCTTTTTAGCATCAAATTCTTTTTTGTGGTATTTTAATCAAAATGTGAAAACCAAGTAAATTATTTTATTCAACCTTACTGAAGCGATTCATAGCACTAAAGATGTGGCCTCAAAAATTCGTATAACCTAGAATGTTAAAATAGCCGTGATGAATCCTTTGCATTTTTAGTAAATAAAATGAAAATTCTACAGCTGAAAATTACCTGCCCTCATTTATAGATGACGTAATTTTACAATCTTGTCTTTTGATATTTTGTTTGTATTCCAAACTTTGCTCTGCAGATGAGTTTTTGATAGCCTTGGGAAATAATTCGACTATCCTCCCGGATATCATTTGCCTTAGATTTCTCAATATCCATCTATTGGGTTTTTGCTATCTCATATTAATGTTTATTTGGCGACTTTAATCTTTATATGATCACTTTAGTTTTGATAGTAACAGAAGATTAGAAGTGGCAAGATATTTATGCACACATTAAAAATGAAAACAGCTATGGTTGTATAAGAATAAACGCACAATTTTAGTTCCCATTAACTGCATAAAGTTTGGCATTACTTAAAAAAACAACAAATATTTCCCATTCCATCTTTTATTTGTATGATTAATTTTTCATTTCACATACTCCATTCTGTACAGTTTTGCTATATTGGTTACAGTTTTAATTGAATTGTTTATTGATGGATTCTCTGTCTTTTAAAAGTTGAATCGCTTTTTAAACCCTTGCTAGCATTAAGGTTTTGAATAATTCCTTAATTTGCTTTGTTACTCCACATTTTAGTAGAATACTTTTTTGTGGGGGGGGGGGGGTTGCTTGTTCATTATTTATCTCGTTATATCGTCTTTGTAATTGTATATGCTAAATGCCACTGCCTTTAAACATGTACTTGTTTGATTCCTTGCATGTTTGCTCTTTTGTCCAAAGTAAATTCTACTTGTATAATCTTACCTATGGAGTGATTGTTTTGAAAAATATGTAAGAAATAAATTTTTAATAAACTGCTTTGTTTTTCATTAATTATACAGCCACTGATGCAAAATGGATTAAACTCATCCCTCAAATGGACTTGACCCACCTGTCACCCCTCAAATCGATTGAACTCGTCCCACCTGTCATCCCCGAATAGAATGGACTCGTCTCCCCTGTCACCCCTGAAAAGGAATAAACTCGTCCCACCTGTCACCCCACGAGTGGAATGGACTCCCCACCTGTCACCCATTGATGGGAATGGACTCTCCCCACCTGTCACCCCTTGATGGGAATGGACTCTCCGCACCTGTCACCCCTTGATGGGAATGAACTCTCCCCACCTGTCACCCCTCGATGGGAATGGACTCTCCCCACCTGTCACCCCTCGATGGGAATGGACTCTCCCCATCTGACACACCTCGATGGGAATGGACTCTTCCCACCTGTCACTCCTTTAAGGGAATGGACTCTTCCCACCTGCCACCCCTTAAGGGGAATGGACTCTTCCCACCTGTCACACCTTGAATAGAATGGACTTTCCCAGAATGGATTCATTCACCCTTTTATCCCATTACATGGACGTGTCCAAGCTGCCATTCCTCAAATTAACACACAGCAATGCAGTCGTAGATCTATAATTTTCAGTCATGACAAACTAAAAATCATTTTTAATACGTTTTTATTATGCCAAAACTACAATCACAGAAATACATGGTGAACATAATGAAAAAAAGATGATAGAAAAATGCTATTTAAAATTCTGCAAATGAACATGTATTTTAAAACAAGGCATTAATATGATAACTAAATACAAGCGTTTTGTGTATGCACCTTAAATGTAGCCGATTAGTATTTTACAAAAAAAGAAAAAAATATATATAGATGGATTTGGTCAGACAAGCTAAACCTGATTTTTCAACATTAACTTTAACTTAATCACAATGTCCACTCGCAAACTATTTAACAAACTTGGATGGTTTAGGCTCGAGGTCTAGGATAATACACAAAATATTGCTCTTCATAACTGTGATATATATTGAATTTTTCATAAATGTGGGCTGTTCAAGGTTTGAACACTTGAAAGAAGGAGAAAGATTTTAATGAATCAACGGAGACTGTGGAATGTAGGACATTTTTTTAAAGTATTCCATTTCTTTTATCAGATTCTTACATTTAACATATAATTAAAATTCTATAATATTGACAAAGCAATACAGGTCAAGTCAGACAAGGTTTCGTCTACTCGAATAATGTACAAAGGAAAAAATTAAGATTCTCCGAAAACAGAATTGTGTGCATTCACGGATTTGAAAAATTATGCTCTATCCCATTCTATGTTTAATATGAAGGTTTCATATGTGGGAGAGATTACACGTTTTGGCAAGTTGAAATAGTTGTTTAGCGTCAAAATCTAGGATTAAACTTTCTCATTCTGCAAAAGGGATTTGGATAACATCAGTTTTTTTTTCCAGAAAACAGTCTATAAAATGGTTCCGATTTACATAAAAGAAAAAGGGTTTTGCAGTTATAGCATTTATTGTGTTGTGAAGAATAAACCAAGGGGAGATGTATAGTTTTTAATATGAACGGGAAGAATAAACTGGACAGTCCCACAATTTCAATTGTGTGCATCAATGCACTGCATCTTTGTTATAGTGAATTCGTCGCGGAGACATCGAGTGCTATTGTCATCTTGTACAAAATGTTTTAATTTGTAACCATTTTACAAAAAAAAAGGTATATTACAGGTTCTGAAGATACAATTCATATTGATACTACTTTTTGTATCTGAACCTTTCAGATGAAATAAAGAAGAAGCGCATTTATTCAAGCAAACTATTCGTGTTCACACGTGTCACCAAATAACATCAACAAATTATGAAAATAACAAAATTAACTTGCACAACCTAAACAAGCAATCTTAATCGGGTGTCAACAAGTAATATGGTGAAAATTGCAATTTTATCTTCACATTTTAAAGTTGTGATAAACAAGCGCTTTAGAAATAGCATTTTGAAATTTGCAAAACTAATATATATCAGCCATTACGATATACAATAAAAACAGAAATGAACCAGTTTTACATAGAATCTGTTACATCCGACCTTGTTCTAAGGTATAATTTGAAAAAAAGGGCATGATAAATCAATAAATACATGTACAATTTTCACCATATAGCGCGTGTGTACGTGTGCGTGTATCTGCATCCGGTTCCAAAACACTGGCAGAGGCCTGACAAGCTTCCATCGGACGCACGTGCATTTTGCAGGATCTCGGCAAAGAAGATAGTTCTGAAATATGAAAATAAGGTAAATAAATGACATTATGCAATATCCCAGAGCAACAGAATGTGAACTAAGAACTAAAGTACTAAAATTTACAGATCTGTGGTGTTGAAAACATTGTACGGAGGCTCACCGAAACGAAAAAATCGAACATGATATAGGGGAAGTAGTACACCGCAGGGAGGGAGGATCGGTACCTTGAATATGGCAGCTTTCGAAATAGGGAACATAGGATGGCAATCTGTCAATTTTCTGCAACCATTTTTTAATGAAGGTGCCTGAGAAGTTAGCTGATACATCAAGCTCCAAATAGCAGGATTTATCTTAAAAGACCCCCCCCCCCTCTTTCTGTCGGCAAAAGATCTCCTCTGGTAATTTTTTTTATTTAGGTACACGACAGTTTCATGGTAAAAGGTCCAGTTTTTCAGAAAAAGAACCCTCCTTTTGAATAGTTAAGGATTTTAAGGAATACAAATTGGTTCTGGTGGCCGGTTTATACACGGTGGGTCTGGGGTACTGAAATGGCGACATCTGGGCACCAAAGTGTGAATCTGCCTTACACCATTTTTGTTGCCGTTTTAAACTATAGTGCACTCCGTAATGGAAAGAAAGCAACAGAATTAAAGAATGTGGTCGAACAGTTAAACATATTATTCACAATGCGTGTGTCACTTATGCGACTAGGGAGTCACCTTTATCAGGAATGACCCTTCTTTACACAGCACATATTGAGTTATGCACTTTGGGCTTAACTTCTTTTCGCTTCTAAATGTTTGTGGTAATAATGTTACTTACAAGACGAGTTTCCTTCCACGCCGAGTTACACGCTTGGCCTTTCAACTTCACCACACCCGTCCTGTGTCCTCATCTTACAGGGTCCAGCTGTCAACTGACTACTCTGAAGGACAGCTCGCGCTGCGACGAGCAATTTATTGTTATGCAAATGACAACAGCCTGTCAGGTGTGGCGCATTTTGAGGTAGAAGATTCTGTTGAAATCATTCTCACAAGAAAGGCCGTATATAATTTTATATATTGATCGATAAGATTCAACATTTCTGTGCACAAGCTCTTGACTGCAACAGATTATTTTATCAATTTTACACGTGTCCTAAACCCCGTTAATTGTAGAATACACCAAGACCTAATACTGTGCCCACTCCACACTACTGGAAGGTCATTGGTTGCGACAGATGTAGTTCGTTCACCTGTTTATTGTCATGTTAATACAGTGATTTATAATGAGTACGGGGATAGACAGTAACTGTCATTACTAACACATTTACACAGAGTACAGACATAACACAAGTTAATTAGCAAAAATGAATTTTATTCATTTATCACATATAGTCGTATCTGAATAAAAAATGTTACGTGTTGTAAGATTTAAAACAAACAAAACTTTCAACTGCGATTTCTAAATAAACTAAACCAATAGAATAAGGAAAGGCGTATGACGCATTCTGTCTATATATGAATGATTTTCCCTCCCTTTGGAAAAATTTAATGAATCAAGTATAGTGAACTCCACCTAACATAACAGCAATATTTGTTAAAAAGTTTGTACTGCGATACTTAAAATGTATAAACCAAGTTTGTTCCAATTTTAACTCATCAAAACATTAATAATGGATCACAAACGATCAACAATACTAGAAAATCTTAAATTAGGAGAAAAAAGGTAAAAACAACCACTCTTTAAGAACGAAATGGGTACTGAACAAAACATTTCAAACTTTAACTTCGAATGAGTCAATAAGTATCGCGGATGTTTGTTGTACCTTTAATATATGACTTGAAAGATAATTGCTCTTTTAAGTACAAAGAACAATTTCTTGCCACAATATCAATTTAAACCTGTAATGTTAAAGCTCACGACAAATTAAAAAAAAAAGAAGCACAGATCTTGAAATATATTTAACTTACTGAATATCATACGCGAGTTGTGACAGCAAGTGGCCATACTCTGTATTTGAAAAAAAGTGATAGCTTACACTGGCAGCCACTGATTTAAACTGTTGAACAATGAGAGGACACCTTTCTCTTCCTCTCTCTGTCTCTTTCTCTCTCTCTCTCGCAGACACACACACATAAACATAGAAACACGCACTCACACAAACACATCTCATACCTAGAAATGACACTATTGTTCTTCCAACTGCAGGAAAGTTTTTAAACTTAAAAAATATCAAGAACACAATTGCTGAAAGCGATTTAAATGTTAGTCCCTGTGTACTAGTGTTAAAGCATTTCTAAATCAAGTACTAAGGATTTCAAGATATCAAATTAAAATTCTGGTCCTGGATAAGTAGCTGTGTTCATAAATAGCATTTTAACACCAGCCTTTTCATAAAACAGAGATTATTGGATGTTATTAACCTCTTATTTTGCCTAGTTTGAGCAATATCAAAAATATCTAGGTAGAGATATTAACCAATGACAAAGAAGCAAAACGAAAAAGGAAAAGAACACACATACATCTAATATCGAACATTTCAGTTATTGCACATCACGATACCTTTTATATTGATATCTGTCTCAATTCATCAGAAGTGCCCTAAAAAAAGTGCTACTCTGAGCATTTATCATAAAATAACCTTTTTTTCTTTTTCCACATTTCACTTAGTAAAAAATCACAAAAAGCATCCTACGACAACCTCTAGTCTTAATTCATATAACATCCAAATATTTTTATTCCATGAAATTAAAGCATTATCAGGTGAAATGTCAGCCCCCGTGTAGGTCACTGTAGTTAAATGAACAATATTGCTGCGTCCCGTTACCAGTCTTCTTTTGCTTCCTCCTCTTTCCCAGGCAAGGGAGGCTCAGACACATCCTGGCCGCCATAGTTCATTTTGTGCATGGCCTGCTCCAGTAACTTATTACTCTGTTTTCTAATGAAGAAGTTCCTAAACAGAGCTATACTGGAGTAGAGTAAACTGCTGAGCAGAAATATACCCACGTTAGCCGCGAACACGTAGTGATAGGACCCGTACGTGTCGTATATCGCACCTAGAGAAAGAAAATGAATGAGTTAACATTAGGGCCAATAATCCACCCCCTC